TCCATCTCCACGGTGGGAGGGAGGGGAGGGCAGCCACGGGAGTTCTGTGGTCCGTCTCACACTTCCAGATACCAGGTCTGCATCACACACAGATCTCATCGTGTGTGTCAGCATTTCCAGTGAAGCCAGACTGGAGGGAGAGCACACGACGCTTAAAAGGGCTAATGACCTGCACAGGAAACGAAAGTCTTCGCCACAACCGCGCTGTCCTTCAGGAGACATTTCTTCAAGGGGAGAAAGTGCCACATGGGTGGAACAGCAGACCAGCTGTGATTTCCCCGGTTACTTATGTGTGTGCAGGTCAGAGTGGGTCTGTCCCGCACCCTGATTCCTCAACCCCTTGTCGGTGCTGCTGGTGGAGCATAGCTCTGAGCTAGGGGGACGGGAGACCTGTCCCTGTTAGAACTGCGCTATAATCCAAGTATCTTCAGCTTTATAGTTAAGTAGCCACCGCTCGGTCATGTAAATATTCAAGTCTCGCACGTCATGTTAATTCCAGCGCTTTGCAGAACTGTGAATTCACCCCTGCCTGGGGCAGGAGGGAAGGGCTGGCGTGACGCTCAGGCCCGGTGCGGGTTCCCGGTCGGTGGACGTCTGCAACCGGCTGTTGATACCAGACAGTAGATTACCTGCCGCCGTCTCTCTGGAGGGTGACTGTGAAAAGGCAGTAAACACACGTGCCCGGGGGAACCGAACACACCGGGAACACCGGGAATCCGCTCTTCAGGAGTCTTAGAATAGCGGGTCTGTAACGAGATGGAACCATCCTAGGCTCCTTTGCTGGTGCGGTGATACTTTCAAAGATTCTTGACACAAAAGGCCCCATGGGTGAGAGTTCCCTGACATGGTCACACCTCCCCTAGAAGCCCGGGTCACGCTGGACCACCTGGAGCTCAGCCTCCCAGGAGATGACCCGGGGACAGGCTGCAGGGGATTCTCTGCGGTCTGAAGGCAGCAACCTCAGGGAGGGCGGCAATGGGGAGGAGCCACGGGCCTAAAAGGAAATAAAAACCTCAACAATTCCTTAAATGGGGCTTATCTGTTACAGTCGCTGCCGGACAAACCATTTACCTGTGTGGGATGCCCGCCTGCTGCCCACACCTGCCACCTTCAGTGCTGCTCAGAATGGCTCCTTCCTGCGGCCCCTCCCGAACGCCGTGCTCCGCGGAGGGGCGGGCCACAGGTGACCAGACCGAGAAGGAAAAACAGCCAAGTGAGGGACAGAACACAGGGGGACCGTGAGATAGGAGGGATGGAGGGGGTGAAGGCTCTACACGACAGAAGCCATGATGTGAGCCACAGAACTCCGCAATCGCACAGCGGGAGACCGGGAAGGGCTGCACTCATAGGAGAAAGGGAAAGGAGGCCCGAGTGTGGAGCCACGAGGTGAGGAGTTCACCAGTATTAACTCATTAAACCCCTCAGAGCATCCCTATGATATGTTATTACTTCCACTTTGCAGAGGAGGAAACAGCATCAGAGAGGTTAAGTCATTTGCCCAAGGTCACACAGCTATCACAGAGACAGCCTGGATCCACATCATCAGGCAGTCTGGTTCCAGGCTCTGTGCTCTCAGTCCTCCTCAGGCCCTCTCCTGGGCATATTAGCAAGAATAGAAAACTAATAATTAACTCATTCTGTGACTGATTAAAGCCTGAGATCTTTCTAGTTGGGAGGAAAAAAAAAACCAACCCTGGAAAAGGTCCAAAAAGGAACGTTTTAATTTTTTAAAAAATGTTTTTATTGATTTCAGAGAGAGGAAGGGAGAGGGAGAGAGACAGAAACATCAGTGATGAGTCACTGATCAGCTGCCTCCTGCAGGCCCCCTGCTGGGGATCCAGCCCTTAACCTGGGCATGTGCCCCGACCGGGAATCCAACCGTGATCTCCTGGATCATAGGTCGATGCTCAACTACTGAGCCACATAGGCTGGGCTGTTTTAATTTTTTTAAAATGTGTCAGCATTACAGTGTGGCACACGAGGAGAGATTATAAGAAGGAAAAAGATGGAAACTTCTCATCTTTCAGGTATTCAGGTCTGCAAGGAGCAGAGCAGCACAGAAACTGGCACTTCGTTTCTATGAAATGATTTCTACATGGCCTGTCCCTTAACTGGCATTCCACAGGAACTACAATCATAGGGAAACAAAACCCTGATTTCCAGAAGAGGAAAAAAAAATCTCGAATGAATTACACTGACACCACTTGGATTTTCCATCACAAGAAACAGGAGCAGCTGCAGAGTCCCACTATGGCATCGGCCATTCTGAATGAAGGAAACGCCTGGGCTGCTGGCTGCTGCCCAGGACAGGGGTCTAACTCTCCATGCTTAGCTGTACCAATCGCTCACATTTCCTAGGCTGGAGAAATAAAATATTACTTACTTAAAAAAGTGTACTGCCCTGGCTGCCGTGGCTCAGTGGTTAGAGCGGGAGGTGTCAAGGGCACGATTTCCGGTCAAGGGCACATTCCTGAGTTGTAGGTTCCATCGCGCCTGTAAGGCAACCAATTGAAGTCTCTCGCTCTTTCTCTCTCCCTCCTCCCTCCACTCCACTCTAAGAATCAATTAAAAAAACACTCTCAGGTGAGAATTAACAACAACAATAACAAAATAGCACTAAGACACCAAAATATTATAACCCAACTTCCAGTTAATAAACAGGTCACCCCTGGAAAGAACTCAAGAGGATGTATGATTCCAAACGCTGAAATCCTTAAAGGTATTTGCAAATGTATTTGGAAGACAGTACAACTGCCCTGCCTCCTCACTGCTTTTCTCCCCACAGATACTTAGGCAGACACTGTAACAGATAGTGTGGAAAACTTGGGAATTCTATTTTACAGAGCAGCTACCTACCTGATAACTGCTAAATTCTTCTTTTTCAAGAGGATAGTATACTCATAAGGAGTATTATATTCTTTTTAAATTTTTTAAATTTTTCTTTTTTAAATATATCTTTATTGATTTCAGAGAGAGGAAAGGAGAGAGAGAGAGAAACATCAATGATGAGAGAGTCATTAATTGAGCCCGCAACCCGGGCATGTGCCCTGACTGGGAATCAAACCCCGATCACCTGGATCCTAGGTCGATGCTCAACCACAGAGCCACGCCCGGTCGGGCTATATTCTTTTTTAAAAAATATTTTTATTGATATTTAGAGGGAGAGAAAGGGAGGAGAAAGAATCATTGATGCGAGAGAGAAACATCCAATCGGTTGCCTCCTGCATGCCCCCTACCAGGGATTGAGCCCGAAACCTGGGCAGGTGCCTGACGGGGAATTGCACAGGCACCCTTTCAGTGCAGGGGACTACGCCCAACCAACTGAGCCACACTGACCAGGGCATGTAGCACTATATTCTTTTAAACAAATGCTGCTTTAAAAATGAGAAGTCGTTCCTGGTCAGATGTGGTTGGCAATGGTATTCTGAATATGGATTCAGAATATTTAAATATAAATACAGGGAACGGTCTACTTAAATGCAGCTAGCTGTGCAGTAGGCACTAAATTACTTTCCATTTTATTCCAGATTGTTCTGGGGGCTTTTCAGCATTTCTCTGGATAATGGGGTTAACGCCTTCTTTCGCTCAGTCTATCTGCTGTCCTCAAGTAGGAGGTTCCTTTTCAAGACTGTCTTCTCGGAGAGCTAGGCCAGCAGTAGCCACAGTGTCTCCCCCAGCCTTTCTGTTTTATATATAGTAACACGGGTTGGGGAAGGGGGGAGATGCTTGAGAGAATTTTCTATTTTTGTAACACTGTCAGGAAGGAAGCTAAACAGAACGTCTTTCCGGGTGTGTGTGTGTGTGTGAACAGTATTTGTTTGGAGTTAGATGTTAGTTTTATTTAACTGCTACATTTAACTCCTGGGAGGATAACCATTCTCGATCCTCCTACTCAGATACTAGTGAACCAAATTCACTGAAGCAAATTCACTGAACTATGTAAAACATAGCCTGTAACTGACCAATACCCTAGGGTGCCTCCCAACACTGCAGGCTCTCGGTGATCATCGCCGAAGCCCTGCTCCAGCCCCAGGCGCGGAGGACGCTAAACGCTGCGGACGTCCCGCGTGACTGCGCCTCGGCCCACAGCACCTCCGCAGAGCAGCAAGTGGCCTTCATCCAGGGCTCCCCTTCTCCAGGTTAGGGGCTGAAGCCCCAGCTCCACCCTCTTTCCTACCCACCCCCTGTCTCTGCTTTCCCTTGACCTCCTTTCCCACACTTGTCCCCTACGCTACAATGTAGCTCCTACCCTCGTGACTCCTGAGGAAAGTGCTAGCAGAAGCCACAACTCAGGGATGACTCACCGTGGAGTCTCCAGCCCCTTTCACCGCCCTGCGCCACGGCCGGGGCGCTCCCTGCAGCTACACCAGAAGGGGGGAAGTTCTCTGAAATCCCAGGCAGAACCTTAAATGAAGATTCCGTCAAAGCAGAGGTAGGAAATGCCCCTCTTAAAGGTTCCAGTGCAAACTAGCAAACGTTTCTGTGGGGCAGGAGGAAAACAAACACGATTCCCGGGGGCCTCCCGAAGGTCCCTAGCAACACTGACACATCCGTAGCGGGCGCCGCGCTCCAGGTCGCTTTAAAGCCGGTGCTACGGGTGGGCCTGCCCTGCCCACTGCCCCGCAGTGTCCGCCCGCCCATTCTCTGCACCAGAGCTGCAGCTGGCCTGTTCCGGCGAGCTCGGGCGGCACAGCGCGGGGACAGGAGAGGAAAGGAGGGGACTTTGGAAGGGTTGACCTTGAGAACGTCTCTGAATTACAAATGGCACGGCTGGGGCCAGCTTAGACCCTGCAAACCCCCACTCCATCCCGGGGAGGATGCAGGGCAGGTGGAGGGCGAAGGGGATGGAAAGGTAGAAAGAAATCTACCGCCGGGAAGGGGCAGAGCGCGCGCGAGTCCATTCAGCTCGGGAAGGCAGGGATACGGGTGGTGCCCAGCTCAGAAGCTGAAGTGCCCTCGAGGGCCGGCGCGCCTCGCTGCCCACAGGTGCGTGCACTCACCTGGATCTCCCACGAAGGGCTGGTGCAGACCGCAACCGTGCAGCGTAGAGTGTGTGCAGCGCCCAAGGCCTCGGGCGTGAGTGGCGTTGCTCGAGAAGGCCCCGCCCCGCCCCGCCCCGCCCGGGCCCGGAGCTCCGCAGCAGAGGCCCCGCCCCAAGGCTAGGCTCCGGCGCCGCGGCTCCTCCGAGGGTCACCTCCTGGCTTCTCGTTGTGAGCCAGGGACTGAAATTTCTTCCTCCTCGAGGTGTCCACTCCCAAATTTACTTATCTAGTCCCTTCCGCAAATGCCTTTGTTGCCGCCTTTCTAGAGCGACCCCGCCAGCTCATGCGTCCCGAATCGGGTTTAAAGAAGGGTCGCATGTGAGTAATTTCTCCCCAGCACGGCCACCGTAGCGTGCGTCCAGGC